AGTGAACATAGAGGTGCATGTATTCTTTCAGGTTTCTTCGGATCAATTCTTAGAAGTATAATCCCTAGGTCATAAGGCACTTCCATTTTTAATTTTTGGAGGTAACTCCATGCTGCTTCCCATAGTGGCTGCACCAATCTGTATTATTCTCACCAGCAGTGCAAAAGGCAGTCTTACTTTTTATCTTGAGGTAGTTGATCCCCAAGGATAGGAATGGGAAAGCAGTAACAAGGAATTTGGTAACTTAATTTACCCTTAATTTTTCTTGTGACTGTTGAAGTTGGGTTTCTTCCCTAGCCACATTGCCTTCTTCTTCGTCTTCTTCTTCTTTTTTTTAATAGGAGAACATTTATTGGGTTAACCACAGAGGTGGAAGAAGTAATTCCTAGAAGAAATGGGCTGAGGAAATGAGTTATGGAGGCAAAGGAAGGGCCCTTGGAGCTTGGGAGGGAGGAAGGTAATAGTAATGTATCTGGGGGTGGGGTGGGGGGGGCGGGGTAGAGGGAAGGAAAGGCAAGGGCATGTTTCCTGGAGGGCTACTTTGCCTTCTTGTTAGTTGATTCTGGGTTTATTTAATATTAGGTCTAAATATTGATTGATCTTTTACTGGAAAATATGCTTTGATTGTGATGGCAAAGATGTCTGTAGGAGTATGGAAGAAGTGAAATCTTTAACAGAGTACAAACTAATTAAGTACTTGCTTTTTTGTCATCTGGAAAGTATTCCAAGTATTCCAAGCTAGGCTAACAGGTTTAGCATGAAAGACTTGTAACTTTATGATTATTAAGTTTTGTCCAGGGCTTCTTTTTAAAAAAATGTTTTTATTGATTTTCAGAGAGAGGAAGGGAGAGGGAGAGAGAGAAGCATCAGTGATGACAGAGAATCATTGATTGGCTGCCTTCTGCTTGCCCCCTACTGGGAATGGAGCCTGAAACCTGAGCATGTGCCCTGACCAGGAATTCAACTGTAATCTCCTGGTTCATGGGTCCATGCTCAATCACTGAGCCACTCTGGCTGGGCTGTCCAGGGATTCTTTTACTTATATCCTTTGGGAGTCAGGTCATTTTTGGTCTTCAAGATAGGACAACCACATAGGAACAAGTTGAACTAGATTTCTGAGGTGTCTACTTAAACATAGTGTTCTATGTTAAGAAGTCCTAGGATACTATCTGATTTGTATACCATATAATCTGTACCCTGTATCTTTGTTTGTATTATGCAAAGAAAGAAGGAACTAATGTTATCTCTGAGTGGTTGGGTTTATGACTGAAATTGATTTTGCATACACTTTTTGGTATTTTCCATTTGTTGTTGTTGTAATCAGCAAAAGTGATTTTAAACATTAGTCTTGACTAAAAGAATGATTAGGTATCCTTTTTCCAGGAAAAAAGCTTTTGGAAGGTGCAGGAAGTGCATATAGTATACTTTTCAGTGTATTATTATTTTTTAAAATATATTTTTATTGATTTCAGAGAGGAAGGGAGAAGGAGAGAGAGAAACAACAATGATGAGAGAGAATCATTGATTGGCCACCTCCTGCACGCCCCCTACTGGAGATTGAGCCTGCAACCTGGGCATGTGCCCTGACCGGGAATCGAACCATGACCTCCTCGATGCTCAACCACTGAGTCATGCCAGCTGGGCCTTTTCAGTGTATTGTTTGCTTTTCTTTAAAAATATGTGTGTATTCACATGTACATACAAACATGTATGCTTAGACCATTTTTTAAAGATTGTTATACAAGAAAATATGGCCTCTTCTGAGAGTGGGAAATTGCTAGGCAAATCTACTCAGAAAAAAGAAAAATATAAAACATTTGGGCATAACAATGGAAATAGAAGAAATAGGAAGATATGCTCATACATACTTTCAATAAATGATTTTTTAAAAATTGAAAGTCCCTAAATGTTCATTGAAAGGAGGACTGGCTTATCCTCCTCATCCTTAAGCCATGCACCAAAAGAGGCACATTCATTTTGAGACAACATGTAGGCAAAAGATCACAAATGTCTAATAATACATATGGCAAATATAGCACTTAGGCACACGGTCCTTTTTGTAGATAACCTATATTATTAATCCTTCCATTTCAATTGTTTCATCTTCAATAAGTGATTTCTACACATGCATTTCACCAGTTTTTAGAAATAACTTTAAAAGACATTTTTAGCTTTAAAACTCCACTGGTTATGAAGATTTGAAGCTTTCCCTCTATATGGTTAAACTTAGAGTAAATACCTTTTTTGAAAAATTTTTTCTCAATAGTTTTGAAACTTTAACTCCTA